AAGTGGAAGAGGGTAGCCAAGACAGGAAATAGGAACCGGAACTTGAAGCAGGACTTTAAACTGGTCTCCTTCCTGGAGCCAGGCTTACTGGATAAAAACTGAACCTCCTCCCATAATGAGCCAAAACCCAGAGGACTCTGCGGGGGAGGAACAGTGGACGATCAGGAGACAAGACAAACACTAAAACCCTCTTTCAGCTGGCAGCTAGGATCAAGGACATGAACCAAGGAAATAAAACTAACAGACAGGTTGACATAAAGACAAGTAATGATCTGGCACTGAATGCTCAGGCTGACCTGACTATAAACCAGAGGAAACGGGTGAGAGGAATAAATTAGAATTGAGGCAAGGAGGGAAAACGACAGGTGAAAGGGATTACTAATCAAGGAGCAAACAGGCCAGATCATGACATTGTGATGGCTGGTTTTAACAGTTAATGCTCTGTAGTGTCGATCAGCATTGTATAGTCTAAACCAGAGTTCACGGATTAGGTGGATCCGGACCCATCTGCTTGCTAATCTGGACCCAACCTGATTTAAAAAAATTATAAATTATTGCATGTTGTCCGATAACAGTGTCTAATTTCACTTGCGCCGCTTCTCCTTTTTGTACGGTAAAGCTCTCCAGAGGGTCCAGCACCAGGCTGGATGTGATACAAATTAGCCAATCAGCTGTCAGTCAAGGCTGCTCCTGCTAGCTACTTATAGACACAGCAGGCAAACCTGTGGAAAGCTGGGCAATGGGAAAGAAGGAGAAGACGGTAAGAAAGAGAGAGCAGAGAAAGTGTGGACTGCTGGAAGAACTGCGGTGAACTGGTGAAAAAAAAGTGAAATGGTGTGCTCAAAAATGTCCCTGCACATTTTGAATATGTTTGGCTCAACCTGCTGCTGTGAAGCAGGATATCCCACCATGAACATAATCAAAAATAAATATAGATCCAGGCTCAAAATGAGCACCGTGATATGTGCTTGAGAATGGCTTTGTCTCCATTCAAACCAGGTTTAAAGCCTTGCAGGGCAGCCTAAAGCCCACTCCTCTCATTAAGACAAAAAAAAGAAAGAAGAAAAAAAATTACCGTCAGTTTAGGTGTTTTATTAAATGTAAGAATCAGGAAATTGGCTATATACCAAACTGAAAGGTTTTTGTTCTCTACTTCAAAAAAAAAAAACACTTAAGATTTTCAAATAGAAAAATGTTCCAAAGTTTTTCATTTTATTATTTTTTTTTAAATAAAAAATTCAATGTATAACATGGCTGCATAAACCTCATTTTATTTCAGCGTTAAATGCTGTTTATGGTAACAGATTATAATCAAAAATGTCTTCGGACCTTTACTGGTTGTTGATTTTCTTTATTTGGACCCCGCTGATTTTTAATTGGTCACCTCTGATCTAAACCATTGGTGTTGCAAGCGCAGCCCCGTGTACAACAACATATCTACCGATCAAAAACTAGTTGATATGACGACATGATTTATGTCCAAATAACGACTTCATTTGGTTGAAAAGTGAAAGGTAAAAAGCTGTAATTTTCAGATGGATGAAACATCTGTTATTGGGACAGCTAGAGGGCCCATCTATAAGTCAGCTTTTTCTGTCCTCTGATTGGTCAGTTAGAGCAAAACATTTACAGCCAAGTTAAGCGAGCAACAATCTGCATTTCAGATTCGCTTCTGTTAAAAGGTTGTCTGGCGTGTAGTGGGAAAAAAGTATTCAACTATTCACACTAGGTAAATAAACGGAGATCGATGGCGTTAATGGCTGATACTAAATGGAGATACTACAACTTCCTGCACAAAGACAGAAGGATTCATTTTGTGTTTTGATAATAATAAATAATACCAATTTAACTTTATTGATCTCAAACTGTAAAAAAACTTTTACCTCTGCATTTAATCCATCCCCTTGGGGAGCAGTGGGATGCCATTGTGCGGCGCCCAGGGAGCAATCCGGGGTTAAGGGTCTTGCTCAGGCACCCAGAGTGCAGGCTGTGGGGATCGAACTGGGTACTTGCAACCTTCTTATAGCACAAGCGCACTGCTCTAACCACTAGGCCAACACTCCCCACTTATAAATAATCAGTATCACTGGTGAGTGTCATATATTTTATTTTTATGCTTTATGAGTTATTTTATCTGGTAATTAGATGCATATTGAATCTGAACGGCTACTGATGATGTAAATGTGGCAGAGCTGCGGTTATAGAGTAGAGGATTGCTGTTGTCTTCACTAGGCTTCTTGCTTAATTGATCTCAGTATTCATCCTCACACTAATCTTCCTCTCAGTTATACCTGCACTTGTTACATTTCATATATGAATACTGCTGGTGAAGATTCTCAGCTATCCAGGTCATAGTCACTCCAAAAAAAGAAAATTGAAAACAATCCACTGGACTTTGTTTTCAAGTTTTACACAGTAGACCGAAAAAATCAAGTTTGTTTTCAAAACAAAAACAAGCCCTTGTAGGGCTACTGTATACAACCTGAAACTCAACGCTATTCCTGACATTTGAACTGAAAAAGCTTCCTGGACGGAAAGCGAAATGTCTTCAAACTTGGAAACAAAGTCCTGTGGATTTTTTTTTTGGAAATCTAAATACTATTTGGGATTTCTATTATTAAAATGTGAAAGTGGTGGTCGGCCAGTCCACTGTTGAAATTAGGTCCTGTATCACACAGCGGTGCCATCTGCATGCCTTCATACACCTTTTTACCATATTTATGCTGTTTCGATAGGACTTAAGTCTATTACACTAACAGACTTTCGTATTACGACTGGCCTGCTTCCAAAGCTTAATGTAAAACCGAAGTCTTTGTTCTCAGTTCTTAAAAGGTTATTAAGTTAGAGATAGGATGCAGCTAAACTAAATAATGCCCAAAACTAGAAAACACACAAACAAAATACCCCTCCAAGCAAAGGCATTGTTCCAAATAATTTACTTTAAATATGGATCAGCTACATTTTTTAGGATGCTGACCCTATTTTAATGAATTTCATTTATTGTTTATCACTTCATATAACTTTCCTCAATATACTATATCTTTCGTTTCAATTCCTGCATAGCCTGGTATTATTTTATTGCTTTGATTTGTTGATGCTGGAATTGTTTTGATCTCTAGAGTGAAGAACAACCTAAATAAACAGAAAGCATCACAGCAGGTGGGAACTGTTCAAACACATTTTATTTCTCATCCTGTCATATAAAAGCATAAAATATGCAGTTTATTATTTTTGCTGACATACAGCAGAATAGTATTCAACATGTATAGGTGAGTTCAATGAATAAAAATATGATTGAAAATAATTGAATGTAGTGCTTTGGTCAAGTCCTCTCACTTTATAAAAAGTGCTATATGCGTAAGTAGGTATAGGCTATTTATCATTTTCCATTTTACAAACTCATATCAATTAATACACAAAGATAGATGCTTTCAAGGCTTAATTTCTGTTAATTATGATGATTTTCTGCTTACTGGTAATTAAAACATGAGATTTAAGAGTGTAATTTTAGATCAGACCAATCAAAAACAATTTAGGCAAGGCAAGTTTATATATATTTCATTGGCTAGACAATTCAAGTTGCTCTACATAAAACAACATTAGAAAGTACAGATGCAGTGACATAGAGGTGATTAAATATCTAATGCTGATGAGTAATTAAAGAGAATAGGCTGAATAATTTAATTAGGCAAAATAATTAAATAACAGAAGGGAAAGCTCAGTTGGTTTCCTCGAGTGGTGGGCCGTTATCGGCCTTAATGGCTGCAATAACGCCGACTCTTATTGGGCGATAAAAAAATAATTAATCTATTCTCACACTTGGAAGCTATGTGTATACTAATGATGACTTTCACCTTTATATTTTAGGGTGGATGTATATCTGATTGGGGGTGAGAACGAATCAGTCTTCAGACCTGACTGGAAAAAAAAATCAAAAATCAAAATCTAGATAAGTAATTTTTTCTTGAAATAAGTGCATTTGTTCTTAAATTGAGGAGATTAAAGAGACATTTTGCCAATGGAACAAGACAATTTAGATTTAAAATAAGAAAACAATTGCATTTTCTTATTTCAAGTGCATATTATCTAATTATCATATTTTAAGGGTAAAAATACTCATTCCATTGGCAAATTATCAAATTTACCTATTTAAATCAAGGGTAAATGCACTTAATTTAAGAATTCTTTCCTTATTCCAGTGTAGGCGTACTATGAAATTACCACATGAAACATGACGAGCTGTTTGAGCCTCTTAAGATTTAGAGTAATTTCTTTTTTGCTAAATTATTGTTACAGAATGTTATCTGATCTATTGTTATTTATTTTTATTTGACCCTCCTTGTCAGTCCGCCTCCTGCTGTGATTAACAAGCAGAAGCAGCTGCCGTGGTTGATCTGATTGTTTGGTAAAGGAGTGAGGAGTGAAGTCAACTTGGAGATCCATTTCTCGACACGCTTATCCCTACTGGGGTCGCGAGGGGTGCTGGCTATCTCCAGCTGTCTACAGGCGAGAGGCAGGATACACCCTAGACAGGTCGCCAGTCCATCTCAGGGCAACACGGAGACAAACAGGAAAATCAACAATTCATGCACAAACTCACACCTAAGGAGAATTTAGAGAAGCCAATTAACCTAACAGTCATGTTTTTGGACTGTGGGAGGAAGACGGAGAAACCGTAGAGAACCTACGCATGCTCAGGGAGAACATGCAAACTCCATGCAGAAAGACCCCGGGCTGGGAACCGAACCCAGAAGTTTCTTGCTGCAAGGCTGCAGCCCAACTTGCCTGTTATTTCTTTTTTATTTATTAGTAAAGAAAACTCCTTTTGAAACCAGAAAACTCTCTGCAACTGTTTTTTATTTTTAAATGAGTCGAAAAGCTCCTCCTAAAAACTACTCTGGCTTTTTTTTTTCTTCTTCTGGGAACTTACTAGGTTGCAAGAGTAGCCGTAACAAGTAGAAAAACTTCACTGATGACTTGAAGAAAAGAGCAAGATTGGGGGATCCTGACGATCACTCACAGACGAACAAAGAAAGCAGCCAGCTTCCGGTGAGTAAAATCAGCTGATTGAGTTTATCAATGAAAGCGCCAATGTGCTATAGAGAAACAATTGATCACTACAGAAAGCAAAGTTGTTCTTTTGAAAAAGGATTGTGGCAAAGATGGATGTTTGTTGATGAACTTTTCAAAAGTGAAAGGATGTGATCATTAATGATGTCTGACCCTGAAACTCCGCCTGCGTCTGAGAACATGTTAAACATGGATGCAACTATAAGGATGCTGGCTTTGCTTTAGGAATTTTCTTTGGGATTCTGTCTCTCACTGTTAGAATGTACATATGATTAAAATTGTAGATTGTTGCATTCTTTGTAAGTGGGCAAACCTGCAAAATCAGCAAGGGGTCAAATACAGACTTATTTCCCCCACTGTATATAGTCAAGGATGTATAGTCAGGAGAAATGAATTAAAAAATCTAGTAAATGTCATGTAGCTTACACAACATCAACAGCAGCATTTTTTTCAGATCCTTGGAATACAATGTTAAAAAGTTAACAGTTCAAGTTGGAACAGAACCTCGTCCTGAATGGAACACCACTCTAGAAATACTCACTCTGTGTTGTGGTGGACGGTGTCGTAACGAACAAACAGAGAGGTATAGAAAGCTTCGGTCAGCAGAGAGTAGATGGCGATCATCACCAGCAGCACGGCCAGTTTCAGCACGGAGTTCAGCCGTAGGAACACGGCGCAGGTGACCATCGCCAGCACTCCTGTGAACACAAAATACTGAGAAAAGCAGAAACATATGGTCAGATGCAGGTACATGATCTATTCAAACATGACACCATCGAAAAATTCAGACAGCATGAAGAAGAATCTGGGTAACTGTTTAAATTGAACACCAAACCATTTGCTTCCATGCTTAAAAAAAGGAGTAAAATTGGAAAATGAATCATTAACCGCTGATTAAGTTGAAAAAATTGCTGATTGTGATTAAATTATAGATATTGATCAAATACATTATGTACTTAATAATTTGGTAATTGTATTTCTCAAAGAAGCATTTTGTTTCTGTTTATGGGATTAGTGAAAACTGAGTCAGTACTTTATACTAAAGAATATAAAATATTTTAACTTATGCTTAAACACAAAAAGAGTGAGGAGCACAAGTAGATCATCGTATAATAAGAGCTGAACAGAATCTGTTCAGAAACACGAGGAATGGAGGCTATTATGGTTAGTTCAACTAAATAAACATACTAGAAAAGTAATTGACAGACAGTAAAAGAAGATAAAATCATACCCTGAATATGTGGAAAAGTCTCCACAGTATGGTGCACACAATCAGGCAGATAATTAAGCATAAAGGATGATGAAATGCAATATGATGGTGGTGATCAAATCTAATGATTCAATGAAAGTTAGTTAAAAGTTATTAACCACCCAAATTAAACAGTGAGGAATTAAATACTGACTGAAATTAATTCACCATTTAATCTCTAATCCAAAGATATAAAACACTAATAATTAATGGGAATGTATTGTTAAGTAAATTATCAGAGACTGATTCGTTGACTTATTATTTAAAATTCCTTAGTAATTAATCCTCAGGTCAAGTTTCTTACATGTAATTATAAGTAAGTTATTAAACAAGCATAAACAAAGGAATGCCAGTGAACTAATTGAACTTTAAATATTAACAACCAACAGCTCATATACTCAAAGACCTACGGATGACTCAAAGCAAAATTATATTTCTTTATATTACAAATATGTAAAAATAAAGGGTGCTATTAAATATCAATGTTTGTTTCAAAATAACTTTCTGAACCATCCTTAATAAGTGACAATGAGAGTGCACTGGAGACCAGGTCGGAATGTGGACAGAGGTTGGTAGATTACCCAAACATTTTAGCCCAGTAAGAGTAACACTACCTTAAAATATATTTTTCCTCAGGTGAGGTAAAAAGTTTTCATCCAACAAATTACTCAAGTAAGAGTGAAAAAGCGCCAGTTAAAATGGCTACTTAAGCACTGAGTGATTGTTGGCTCATAAAAATTTGATTGACTGTTTAAAAGGAATTCATCAGGCAAATAGTTATGTGCAAATGCTGGTATTCCAAAATATAAAATGATTTAGAAAATACTAAAATATAACATGATTATTAAATAATAAATTCAAGCAGAAGTACCACCTTTCAAACTGTTTTAAACTTAAACTTACTAAACTTTTAAAATAATCTTTACAGTAGACACCAGGGTAAAGAGTCATTTTACTCTATGTGTAAAAGTAAAATGTACACTCAATAAAAAATATAAATGCACCACTTTTGGTTTTGCTCCCATTTTTTATGAGGTGGGACATCTCATGGGACATTAGTAGCATTGTATTGTTTGATAAAAGGGCACCTTTCACAGTGGCCTTTTATTGTGGGAAGTGTAAGGCCCACCTGTGCACTAATCATGGTGTCTAATAAGCATCTTGATATGCCACACCTGTGAAGTTATCTCAGCAAAGGAAAAGTGCTCACTATCAAAGATTTACACTGGTTTGTGAACCATATTTGAGGAATATGGGGATATTAAGTATGTGGAAAAAGTTTTAAATCTTTGAGTTCATCTCATAAAAATTTGGAGCAAAACTAAATTGTAGCGTTTATATTTTTGTTGAGTGTAAATTCAGTAAAACCACCCCTAAAAGTAACTTAAATAGACTACTGGCCACATTGTGACCCTGACTGAAAAGAGGGAAAAGATGGATGGCTGATCAGGAAATGGTTCATTTGGTTTTAGTTACTAAGTGAAAATGTTGGTGATTGAAACATTTCTTGACTGAACTTGGTTCAAACAGAAGAAGTTGAATGTATGCAACTGAGATCAATACTAAGGACTATTGCAAGTGTAAAGAAACAGACACTAAAATAACAATTTATAGGTAAAGTCGCCCAGTTTATATTATAAACTTCCTGTTATTAATATGAACCCTGGACACAAACTAAAGTAAGTTTATGAGCTTCTGATGAAATTCACAGCTCCTCTGGCCACTAAAGAACCACATGCTGAGCAGTAATAAGCCAGAACTACTAAACTGGCCTTTATTCCTAAAGTTTCTGATGTGTTTTCTTATTAAAGATTAAATCCAATATCCAATATTTTCTTATGTTGCTGCATCTAAAAATAACCTCCTGTGTGTATCTAAAAAGCAGGTCTTATTTGCAGACCCTCAGGAGGAAATAAGTTTCTGATGTATATATACAACAATACATGACTCAGCTCAAGCTCGGGGCTATAAAAATGTGGCTCGCTTATTGGCTCCATCAATCAACCATATATTGTGTGAGCAAAACAGCATAATGGATGTTTTCCACGTGACGTTCTGATGGCTCCATCAGTCGGCGTGTCCGAGGCGAGACCTCCCTCTGGGACACAAGCAGCTGTCGACAATATTTAATTCATCATTTTGCCACTGTCGCAGAAGTGAAAAAAACACAACAGATGGACCTGACTGCAGAATTTCGACACCTCATTTAGTTGGTACCTCTGGGTAGAAGCAGATGTCTGGAATGGAGGCAGACTCGTTGTACGTCTGGTTCTTGAAGGTGTTGGGCTTATCGAAGTCACACCACAGCTGTGAAAGGCCGACAGGGTGGATTAATTTCAATGTAAACCTTTAGACTCATGTTAAATATAAAAGCCATTCTAATTAAAATGTGCGACAATTATCAGAATCATTAGAAAATAAATCATTGTAATTATAATAAACAGTGTAAATATGTATTTCCTTGAGTTATGCTTAATTTGGGTATCTTGATAGGTTTTGACAGATTTTAATGACATTTTTATAAGAGGTGTCCCTCATGCCAAGGAATAACCCATTCAAATTTGGTGATAATCCATATATTAATATGGATACAGGATTTTATTTTTAAAGATTCTCTAACACTGTGAGATGGGGACATTTGGCAGAACAAGGAGTTCCCCACTAAACAGATGCAGTGAGTATCGACAGCCTCACCATCGGACTCAAAAAGTCCGGAGAGATTTTACTGAAGAGTGTTGTTGGTTTGTTAGCAGGTTCAAGTAAAACTTATGAAAGGATTTTTTTTATTTTTTTATTTTTTACCAGAGGTGTGCCCGTGCAAAGAAAAAAAAAATCACTTAAAGCTATGGTGGAGGATACTAATTGTCAATCATTCTGGTGATGTGTTTACGTAAGGCCGTCCTACGTGCTCGTTCCCATTTTCATTTACCAGTGGTGAGTCTGACATAGCGGAAAAATTGCAAATCTTCTTTTGGAAAGTAAGCTTGTATAAGCGATGCAAATAGCAACTTATAAACTTGTGCACAAGGAGAAATGGGCTCCTGCCACATTCCCAATAAGTCTGCATAAGGTACAATTTATTATTATTTTTTTTTTTGTGATTGATTTATCTATTTAGTTTACTTCTTTTTTAGACTAATGCTGTATAAAAGTGAGCAAAGTCTGTTTAAGTTACTCCAGTACCTAACAAGGCTTGGACACAATTTATGGAGTATCTAGTACTGATACCTCTAGTAAGAACAGGGGCGGGAAGAAAATAAAACAGCCAACTCCGATTGCCGAGTGCAATCTATTAAATGTGAGCTTTACTGTGAGCCTTGCTTTAATTTAGTAGTCATATATATATATATATATAATATAATATAAAGAGATGATAACTGATTGCTGCAGAAGACACATTTATGTCTAAAGCAACTAGATTTATTAGTGGCAGTGAAAATATGCGTCACTGGTAAGAGTCATAGTCCCAGAGAACAGAATTGGTATGCTTCATCAATTACATCTGTGTCCATTTTGCAATATATTTAGATTTAAAATATGTAGCCCTTTCCAGTGTCCATAGAGAGTTTTGGATGACAGTTTTTTATACAACTTGTTGATTTCCTAACTTCCTTCTGGAGTAAATTGCTGAAAACTGGACTCTAGAAAAAAAAGCAACATCTTCATTTTTTTCTTTTTAAGTTTACCCACAAATTATACTTACAATATTGATCATTGCTGCAAGGAAGTTAATAAGGATTGAGACGAAGATGATGACGTTCCTTGCTGTGTACGTCTCATTAATCCAGCAGCAGGCTTTCCTCAGGACCAGAGGCAAACATTTGTAGTCCTCTGCTGTCGTGACGAGAACCAGACAGGAGTGGAGGATGATCAGGATGGAAAACTGGATCACCATCGTCATCATTCTGCATAGAAAAAAAACAACAGACCCAGATAAAATAGGCCTCCAGATAAGGACATTTAAAACTTAGAGGATTCACTAATAGCTGGAATAAAACCTGCATAGTCATAACCTTTTTGAAAGAGCTGTTTAAGTTGGACTTTCTTCACAATCATGATCGTTCCTGTCGGAGTCAGTTCAAAATCAGGAATCCAACATTTCAGAAAAACAAAAAAGCTTAGCAAAATAATGACCCACACAGTAACAGCCAACATTTAAATGAGAAGCTGCATTATTTATTTACCTGCTCTGCCTGATAATGATATGAATAAAGCATTAAACCAAACCAAGCTTTTGTTGCAGATGCAAAATTGTTAGCTGAAAATTTTCATTTACTGTATACAAAGCAGAAGGAAAAATTTATGAATCAATTGTTTTAATATCTGTTATCACTCTAAGCTTTAGTTTCAACAGTTTTAGTACAGTAACTGTAGATTAAATTATATACTTGACTTTTTAGGTTAATGCGGTTACCCCAGGGTAAAAATTCAATTAAATTCAACATAACTCAACTCAACTAAACTCAACTCAGCCCAAGTCAAGCCAAGTCAATTAAATTAAAGTCAATTCAGTTTATTTATACCGTGCCAATTCACATCTTCTCATTGACTCTCAAAGGTCGCTTTACAGAAACAATAAATCAGATCAAGCAGACAGATTGGTAAGGGGTATCTATCTAGGAAAACCAGCTGATTGCATCGAGTTCGACAGCAACCCCTCACACCAAGCATGCTTGTAGGGACAGTGGAGAGGAAAAACCTCCTTTTAACAGGAAGAAACCTGCAACAGAACTAAAATACTGGCCAAACTCTATCATCTGTAACTGAAGTTGCTGATGGCAGCGACCCAGCTGACATTTCTCTCGAGGATGGCATTAAAACCAAACAGAAACAGAAATGACAAATTCTTGTTCAACTTCGGCAGTTGTGTTAAGATTTTCACAATGCAGGGAATTGCTACATGCAACAGGAAGATTCCTTATTTGAAGCAAACTAGAACTTTGATGTGGGTGGCTGTGTGACGAGGCATGTCTTTACCTCAGTGCTAGAGAACAGCAGCCAGTTGCAATACAAAACAACACCTTTCCTATACGACCATCACAAATAACAATATTTAGGTTGGAAAAATCGGAGATGTCTCACTTTAACACTGTAGTCACTTAATTCAACTCTGGTGGCTTAAAATGGTTAAACAAGCCCTATCTGCTCACTTGCAGTGTTTCCTCTATAAATTATCCAAACAGGGCAGTCCCACCCCCATAGCGCTGCACTACCCTGGTGTTTGCAGTCTTTACAAATATTCCAGAACATCCATAAGCTCTTATAACTGTCCACTCCTCTACATTCAACTCGTCGCCTGTCCAGCTAAGCTCACTTTCTGATATTTAGTAACATATTATAATGCAGCGGACTTCAGCAGCTAATATTTTCTATGATTATTAATACTTGGAAGCAAAATATATATTTTTTTATTGTAATCTTAAGAATGATAAAAATAATTCCTGGATCTCATCGAGTGAACTTCTCTGCAACAAACACTTGAGACAAGCCTGGAGAAGCTCTCATAATCAATATCAGGGATGGTGGAGGATCTGTTATGCTGTGTGTGCCTGCTTCTCTTCAAAACACCCTAGGAGCCTTTTTAGTGATCTTGCAGCATTTACTTTTATTAATACAGTACTAGGATATAAAAAATATAAAGATCTAGTGACTTAACTCGAGCCCTGAGAACAGGGCATCGTTTAGTCTTTTTCTCAGTCTCAGTGTGATAATGATGCCTCTGAGACAAAAAGATATGTTTATTTTTTTTTTTTAGGGCACTAATAAATGTGGCACTAGGTTCATATAATTTGTCAAAAAAAATACAAAGATTCGAAAGAAGTAAAAGCACAGATATACAGTTAAAGCACAGTATGAGTCTGATGAGACTCAATTGTCAGGAAACCTTTCATTTTGAAAAAACAACAACCTTTTAAGCAGATATTAGAAATATGTTTTATAAATTTATAATTTCTTCATTAAAGGTTCAAATGTAATATTCTAATTTTAGGTGCTGTGATTTACTAAATATAAACAGAAAATCTGTATAACTTACAAAAATATATTTTTTTGAAACATCAATCTGTATGAAAAAAACTCTTTCATCTGGTGATGAAGTTGCTGAATAAATTACCTTTTCAGGCTTACACAACTTTTATTGGCATTTTGTGTACACAGAGTGTTTACATACCTAAATTTCATTTAGTACAGCTTTTCAGACAGTAAATGAACACTTCAATCCATAAAGTGCAGCAGTAATGAAACAGTTTGAGAGAAACAAAACATGGTACAAAAAAACCACATGGATATGGAAGTTGAGAGCATTAATATTTACTGTATAATGCAAATATGCAGTATTTTTGGTTTGGTGTTATCAGTGTGATGCAGGGTTTGTGATATGATTTAAAGTTTTTTTTTTCCAACAGTTCAGCTGTCTGATGGCAGTGGGGAAGAAACTGTTGCAGAATCTGCTAGACCTGCATCGAATGCTGCAAAGCCTCTTCCCAGAGGGCAGCAGGGAGAACAGTCCATGGTGGGGGTGTGAGGGGTCATTAATGATGTTACAGACTTGGGACACGCAGCGCTGGGATGAAGTGTGTTTATGGAGGGAATAGGAGCCCCTATGATCCTCTCTGCTGTTTTCACTACTCTTTTCACCTTCTTCCAGTCTGAGGGTCTGCAGCCTCCACATCACACAGTGAGACAGCTGGTCAGAACGCTCTCTATGGTGCTTCTGTAGCAGGTGGTGAGGATCGGTGGGGGCAGTAATAATGTGATTTATTGAATGGGTCTGTAGATGTAGGTTTTTGACAATATTTAGCCACTAGAGTAGCTTCATACTTTGACTGTTTCTGTCGGATAAAAACAGCAACAGACTTCGATGCTCAGGGAAGTAGGCACACAGATTTTTCTTTTCTTCAGGTGTCCTGATTTACCTGAGATCATAAAGCAGGTTTTAAGAGCTAATTTAAATCCCTGTTCAGATAAGAGTCACTCTTGACCATCATCAAGGCTTTCAGTGACTCCCCAGGTGATGATGGAATCATCTGATGAAGAAGCAACGACTATCACAGGATCAGAGTGATTACTTCCACTGGATTTGTAGATAAAATATCATCTCAGGGCACAATAGACTCCAATTATGACTAAAAGTGTTTTGAACAGCAGGACAGAGGCTCTCATGTCTTGTGTTTTACCACACATGTACTCCAGGAGCTGACAATGATTCATTATTTATACGCCACGCTACAGAAATAATTGTTGTTCCTCTATGTTAATAAGATTCTGGGAAGCTGAAGTCTTTCTAACGGCTCCATATGCAGATACACCTTCCATCACTGTCTGACTGTTACATTAACAAGTTTAGCCAACCTAACAAATCAAGTCTATAAGCAACTGTCCACTAAGAAACAGAAATAATGATTTAAAGTTTTTCTTTAAAACAATATTTGTAAGTCTTGTTAAAAAAAAGAACTCTGTATAAAATATTCCACTTCAGAAACCAAATTGGATTAAGATGTAAAATTTAATTGCTAAAAAGCAAAAAAAAAAATAAAATACTGTATTTAGTGAGATTTCTTTTTCATACTTTCATGCTTTTATTGGTATAAAAATAGTAACAAAGGCAGCAGCACATGGGTTTAGTGTTATGAAAATGTAATTGTTTTAATCAATAAGAAAGATTATTCTTTGTAACACACTCTTTTTAAAATTGAAATTTCAAGCTTTACAAAAAATCAGATCAAACAGTGCTTAACATCTTCATACACAAAGGCTGCAGTCTGTCTTTTAAAATGTCTTCATAATTATTACCTTTCTATAACCAGATAAAACCTTATTGAAATCTAAAATCCCTTTTCCAAGGGGGACCTGGGAAGATTACATTAACAGCCAAAGCCATTTATCTGAATTCGAGGTGTTTAAAAACTGTGCTCATTGTGCTTGATTATAGATGTATCATTCAGTTTGAAAAAAATGAAAGTCTCAGTGATTAAAAAAAGATGGTTAAGCCTAAAGATGCTCAGGGTTGTATGCAGCTGCGTTTAGGATATAGATATGAATAATCCTCACTGAGGTGCACAAAAAAAAAAAAATAGAAAACTTAAGGTTTGTTATGGCTAGAGGGAAGCACTTAGAAGGGAAAGATACTGTGCAGCTTTTAGGGTCTGTGAAGCTGATTGTCAATCATGTGACACCTGTGGCTCTTTCTCCTTGGACAGCAAAAAAAACAAACCGTGCGTACAGAGTTTTGTTGAAAATTATAAAGAGAGATCATATCTCTACTTAGCTTTTCTTCATTGGCTTCCTGTTAAATTCAGAATAGAATTTAAAATCCTTGTTCTCACATATAAAGCCTTAAATGGCCAAGCTCCATCTTACATCAGATATGACTGAGAGCACCTTGGTCTCATCTGAAGGTTTACAAGTGGTTCCTAGAATTTCTAAAAGTGCAATGGGACATAGATATTTTAGATATCAGGCTCCTCTTCTGTGGAACCAGTTTTAGTCCGTGACGCAGACACTCGTTCCTTTTTGATAAAGCTTATAGTTAGAGTGGCTCAGGTTATCCTGATCTATCTCTAGTTATGCTGCTATAGGCTTAGACAGCTGGAGAACATAGGGACCCTTTTTCATTTTCTGCTTCATTCTATCTCTATACTCCCATTCTGCAGAATTTGTTAGTTCAGTGTCTAACTTTATGCTCTCTTTGCTTTTTCTCACAGTAGCTTCATCTGTTCTGTTCCTGTTTGGCTCTGTCTTCATCCTGGACAGAAATATTAGTTGTGTTGCTGCCATCAACACCTTTGTTTACAGATGTTGGAGCTTGGCTGGTTTTTCAGTGTGGTCCTGTTTCTCTGTCAGCCTCTGACACGGGAGCTGGCTCAGAGCTCGTCTGCCTGGCTGTGTGTTTCCTAGACAGGCCCGCCTGTGGAGCTGGTTAAACAAATTGAATTGAACTGAACATAGAAAACGACTGTATTTTCTTCATATTACCTTAAAGAACACAGAAAAAACATGGTAATCTTGTGCTCGGCATATGGGTCCATGAACTGATAAGGATGGTATCCCATTATACTGCTTCCCTAAAGACCCAAAAGGGTGGCTGCTGTGAAGAGGGAGCTGGAACCAACAACAACTAGCATAATTAGCAGTAATCACTTCTTAAACCATTAGTTGGTATACTCAAATGGTTATTGTTGAGACTTGTCTTTTAGATAGATGTGGAAATAATTCTACTGGTTTTATTAATTGGACAATTCTTTTTTCAGAGTAAAAATCATCTATCAAAGTTTGAGTTTTATTATCTCTTTCTTTAAGGCGAGGATTTTAGTCTGTTTTCCAAGGACCCCTTGTTTGTTTTAGTCTTTTTTTGTGGAAGTTAATTTTTAGTTTTGGTCAAAATATCAGGTGAAAAAGTCAGTGCTTTTTTTCCCCTTACCTGGCAGAGGGAAGCAGGCTTTGAATAGCAGTGATGAAGATGAGCACAATAAAGGCGCAGACCAGGTTGGACTTGAAAACCTCGTCCCTCATCTGTGAGTACTGCACAGGCAAAGAGACCAAGACGAAGAGAAAAGAAGGGGAAGAGGAGGTGAGGGGAAAAATGGAGAAACAGGTTTTCAGACAAACAGCGAAGACTGAACAAGTCAAAATGCACCGAACACACAGATGCACTGCCACAGATGCATGCAACTCGGTCAACCACAAGCATTAGAGAGAGAGACAGGAGCTGGTGGGTTAGCTGTGGGGTCCTGGGGAAGGTGCGAAGCTGACAAGCACAATGCTAGCTGTGAGCATTTCAAATGTTAGCAGAGACGCCAACAGAGAGTGCTGAGTGAAAATAACTCTGAAATTAAACTCAGATGCTGCTTTCTGAAGACTCAGAAAAGTCTTAAACATGCTTAATTATTCTATAAAGAAAAGTTGTTGCCCCTCTGATTCAAAACAACAAAAAAGCAATTAAAAAACAAATTCACAAGTTCCGTTTTTAGTTAGTAATATTCTTGTTTATAATGGTTTTAATCGCTTTTTGTACCATTTGATGTCATCTGTCATAGAAAAACATATTGAAATCCACTTTTGTTGATTGTGATTTAACATTCAGAATGTAATACTTTTTGTAAACTTATATTAAGGTATCAAATTATTTTATATTATCCTCATTATTAGTTGACAGAAACACCTAAAAGGCTTTATACTTTTGTTTTTTATTATAATTTATTTAATGGCTTAAATATGAACCTTTATAAGTAAAATATTTGTGGCTGTGCATGAAAGTAGCTAAAAAAAAATGCATAGAATGAGCTAAACTAGATTAGCTATATATTGTCTATGTCTGTGTCTAAAGTATGTCCATGTTTGTATTTTTAGGTATGTCTATGTCTGCATGGGAAAGTAAGAAACGTATTTTCATTCCTTTGTATGACCAGTGCATGTAAAGAAATTGATAATAAAGCTGACTTGACTATAACTTCAGGAAAGCCCTTTAATGAAAAACCTTTTCTACCTTTTTATCCTCATAAAAACCTTAAAGAGACACACTTTTGCTAGAATTTTGCAGAAAAACATGCTTTTCAATAATGGTTTTTGATAAAAAACAAAAAACAATATCCTACATTTTCAGATTTTTTTTTTACTAACATTTAATGAGGATAACAGTATAAGTGTGTGTACTTTAGCCAGTCCTGTTAGAAAAGATGCTACTAAAGTTTCCACTTCTTTTCTTTCCACCCCAGTGACACCGGCTTCCCCGAACCTCTCTGTCTCTTTCTTAAGGGGTGCTGGGAAATTAGCAAGAGGACGTTTTCTGCTTTGTCACAACTTTTCCAATAGAAAACAAAATAACAAATAAAACAGAAAAACAAAACAAAAAAAATTATTTAAAAGAATGATGAAGGGAGGGAAACACCAAATCACTGCACATTTACTGAGGGAGTTTAGTGGTTATCCAGATAGTCAATTAAATAAATATAAATGAAGGCAGGGGACATTTTTCTTGAGATTCTGTTATTATGGAAAAAAAACAAAACAATTATGAAGGGCTGAAAGCCAATATAGACCTAAAGCAACAAATGAATGGGCAAAAATAAAAAAAATTAGACAAAAGGACACTGCATTCAGCAAAGAAAAAGAACATTCATCCATTTCTGTCTTGTAACCATTTCATATGACATGATAATAAGTATCATGACAGAACCATCTATTAATTTAATGCTGCAGCAGATGACTCGGCTGTCTCTAAAATGTTAGCTCTGCAGTGTTAAAAGATGAATCTGTACAATAGATACACAGACTGTTTTCAATAAATGTGATAATTAGACTGTAATATTCATGAGTTTTCTAAATTAGGCGCTAGAAGTCCTTTTTTTAAAGGAGCAATACGCAGAATTTAACTACGTGAGGACTAAACTAAACTAAAAACAGTTTTCAGAAGAATAAAGGGTAGCTCTGGTCCATGTTAAGATGTCACACACTGTCAGCGTCACTCTGTGTTGTTCTCTAGTCTCTTGTTTTATGTAGCCACACGTTCAGGAAAACAGCTACGGGGCTTACCAGCGTAGCATAGGAGCAAATAGTGCATCTAGCGTACCAAGCCGTTCAATCAGGACTCATTATTGCCACAGAAAAAAAAAGAAAAAAACTTTTTGATAAAGAAGCCGTCAGATAAGGAAAACGAGGATTAACATTGGCCTGGGGTTACCAAGGTACAGGAATGTCTACGTACATTCAGGGCTTTTTCTTTTTGACAAATAATCTTAAACTAAAATGAACAACTGAAGCCTTGAATTTCACATTGTTTTATTGATTTTTTTGTGGCGTTCTGTGTTGCTTCATACCGACAGCGACTTGAGTGTGTCGTCTCCTATTTTATAAATCAAAATGACCTGACAAAGTAAAAAATAGATCTCACATTGAGGATCAAAATAAAAAAGAAAGATATATTAATGGAATATTTTGAGCAATAGGATATTTCACAAGCAACATAACATGTAGTTAGCCTCAATCTTATGGAAGGAATCAGTCATCATTTTCATTAATATTGCTATTAATTAGTATAACCAGACTTTTCCATATGTCATGTTATTTAGCTCAATAGAAAGTTGTATTAAAATATAGTGTTGTTGTAGAGGTGAAATTTTGCTTATTGCTCCTTTAAGTAAGATTAACAGTAAATTACCAACAGATCATTACTAATGTGCCTTAGTAAAGAAATATTTGATGTATTAATAGCTGTGTTATTAATTGGCTCGTGTGTAAAATCACTATTCTGAGAAAGTTCATATTTAGAGGTCCACGTTTTTTAATCTTGTTATATAAGGATGACTTTGGGAAGTGGAAGCAATAGTTTGGAGGAAACAAATCTTTTTTGTTGCCTTTTTATTCATTATTTTTCTTTTTTTTTACTCAATGCAGTGATTAAAAGTTAAAAGAGGAGATAAAAGGTCGTCATGAGTAAACTGAAGGGAGATCTTTGTCTTGTAGTGAAACAAAGTGATGTTACCAAACCAAATCTGACTATACTATACTTATTAAAGTACATAAGGATTTACACAGTAAGCTTAAAATAATAAAAAAAAAACACCAAGAAAACAAAAAAAAATAAAATAAAAATACTCAGGTGTTCTTTGAAAGCCAATTTTCTTGTGCTTTTTAACATTGTATGGAGTCCAAAGTGTGCCAAGATAATTGTGTGTGTGATGTACATTAGTACATCTAGAATAGCCACCAGAGGGCATGCCTGTTGAGGTCATAACCAGAGTCATATTTTTATCTGGCAGTTGCTGCAGCATCTCACTATGAGAGCAGATAGGATACAGGTTGATATTATTTAGTTTGACAAAAGTTACCAAAAAAAAAAAAATGTGTTGTCTGTTTAGAACTATAAGCAGTGCTTGAAAGTTTACGCATGCTTGCATTAATAGAAGAAAAACATCAACTGTCAATAAAATAAATTGAAATTGACACAAGTAATAGTAAAATGATAAAAAAAAATTGAAATAATGATATTGATTTTGAATGCAGCTCCTGAACCAATAATTTGTTGAGCAACATTTTAAGACAATCAATGAAATCAGGTGTTTTTGTTGTTGTCAGACTTCTGCAAAATTGACAACTATGCTGGTTCACTGTTCATCAATTTGACTGGGACAGTCACATTTTTCAATAAAAAATTCTAAATCAATACTTTATTTTAACTTAGTAGATTTATATTGTATTTATTATTACTTTCTTCAGTGTAGATTGATCATTTTCTTTAGTGGGAGGTTATGTAAACTTTCAAGCACAACTGTATCTCTTCAAACCAAACCCCATTTAACTCCTATTACTTATTATTCAATGCTGCCACCTAAGGTTGCTATGGTTACATGTCAATGGACGTATTGTAGTTGCTTTAAGAGGACAGAGCGTCAAAGACAAATCTCAAACACAGCAGAGGGATTAGTAGATCATTTTTCATATTTTGTTATCCAATTATTTGTCTTTAGTTTTTCAGTTTGATTTTTGTTTTCTTTTGCTTTCTGTGGTATAAAATAACATTGAAGTTCGTGTAAAGATGATTGAAAATGCTTATTACTTAAGTGCTTTTTAAATGACCTCATTATTTTTCTTTGGTTTCTGTTTAATTTAATAAAGTATTGCATTTTTAAAAAAAATCTTTTTAGTTAAAAACAAAAACAAATAAATTCTTTAATAAAAATGAGGAAAGCTGGTTAATAGGGGCACACTTGAGACTCCTCAAACTTAGACACCATACAGACGCATTTTTGAATGAGAAAATGTTTTTTTTTTTTGGCTCCAATTGTGTTTAACCCTAATGATTAATGTATTTTTGTAAGCCTGCTGTACACTAACTCCTTTAGTTATAATGAAATCAAACAAAGGCTAATTTTTTGGTGGCAATAAAACCCAGTGTATGTGCCTTTAGCTTACTCATGATTTTAAAAGAAAAATCTTTGTCATTGCTTTGTTTTTGGAAATCTCAAAAATAGGTATGAGGAGGAGGAGAGAGAGAGGAAAAAACATTGATCTGTCTAAAACCCCAGCTACCTTCTCTTCCAGGCTGGAGTCTTTAAACATCAGTGAGAAAGGCTTGATATGCTCTCTTCTCAACTTATCGCCACTCCGTAAGTCGATGGCACTCTCTATTCGCTTGTTAATTTCCTCAGGACCAGAGTGGACATGCAAAGCTTGTGCAAGATGGTTTGGAAGCAGATTTATCGAATTTCTCGTTAGGGCAGCCAGAGTCTAGAGGGAAAGCACATGCACATAGAATGAACCTGCTTGTCCCCCGTTTTTGTTTCATTCAGGTTACAAATGAATAAAAAAAACAGACACACACTTTGTTATGCACACACAAACCAAAATTAAGACAAAAAGGAGGAGGGGGGGGGATCAAAATGCAACATTAGCTGTCAGACCGACAGCTCTGAGCAAGTCATGCATATCCCATTCTCTCTCCCAGCGCGTTCACTGTGCATGGATGTTAGTGGAGACAAAGCTTGTAATAATGCAAACACAGTAACAAAGCTGGAATTTATCTGCACATGTGTGAATGGAAATTCAAAAGAGCTGAGGGTTAAAACACAATTAAAGGGTTGGAAATTAAAATCATCAAGCATGAAACGGCGGACGGAAAGAGTTCACCTGCAAATGTAAAGCAACGCACAAAATCTCTAATTAAACACTGACGTTCAGATTAACTGAAACCTGAAATAGCCTTGGAATATATGCAACAGAAATTGATTTCCCTGCAAATTAATGATTCGAGGATATACATATAGTTTACATTTTTATCTATTCTCACACCTAACTTTGACTTTTGGCTTTAATGCAACCAAGACCCATAATTAATGACTAAAACAGAATATCTATGAAAAAAATTATGAGGAAAATCCCAATCCTATGATTAAACATACAGGGTGCTGGTGTTTCAGTGGGTAATGCTCAAACACCATAAACCAAGGCTGCCTGCTGTGTCTTGTCTAATTTGTGTAGAACAGAAGTAATGCAAAAATATTAACTGAGAGATTTAACATAAAAGTTTGCATTGCTGATTTTTAAAATGACCAGACCCATATCAGAGGAAATGCATCAACAACTCTACAGGAATCCTAATCTTGAGAGTATTCCACCAACTGAGGTAAGTCTATAATGAACAAAGATTTAAAATATAGTCGAAAACAATCAATGATTAAATAAAAACAATAGGATATCATACTATTCGTAATATCTTTATAAAAGGTGTTTTACAGTTTTAAAGGACTCATTGATTTATTTTTGAAATCTCATACCTTTGTAAAGTTATAGGAATCTGGAACAGCTCTAACATTTGCAAAAACATTTCCTGTCACCTACAGTAACTAACCGATTTAAGCAAAGCAAACCGTTGGTTATGCTGATTTTTCTGATTTGTTTCCTTCCTTTCAATTGCAACTGAACTCTGTTGTTGGCTTTTGCTTGTGCTTAATAAAGGACAAAATACATGGAAATAATTAACTAGAGAAACATAACAAGTAAAAAAAATCTGAATCAATGGAATAACAAAGGATCTAAGCACTGTTTTTTAATCGAATTGCTGATGCTGACATGTCTTTTATCAATAATACTCTAAAAAAACATATTAAAAACTTTTACTAAAAGAGACATCTTGGTAATAAAAAATAAACGTGTCAAATCTGGCTCTCTAACAGTGAAAAAAAAAAATCTGGTTCTTTAATAAAATTATAGAGGAAGCATCTCCAGCCTAAGCCCTGCGTTAGCATTTGAACGTGACTGTTTTGATTGAATAACTATTTAAATATAAACAATTAATACACAAAAAAAAAAGCACAGAAAAAAAGCAATGAAAATATCCCTTAAGTTTGGTTTTTGTTCTTTTTTTCCCCAAAGGTATACTGGATACAGCCAGAGCCCAACCAATGGTTCTGGTGTTCATTGTTAAATATTTTTGCACATTGTAGTTTCCTGCAGAAAATATAGAAAAACTAAGAAAAAACAAACAAAAAACCGAGTAGTCCAAACAATGTCCTGTGAGGATTTCAGCTCTTTTTTTCCCTGTTGCTTCTTTATCTTTACAGCAAAAGCCATGGATCCTCAAAATATCCAGCACATAGTGAGTTTCATGCACACTGCGTATGGATATGTAGGGATTTGCGGGAAGCTTTTGTTTGTATAAATAGTTCCAAATAGTTCCAAAATGAACCCATTGTGATACCTTTACACGTGGTATGCTCATTGATTACATCAAACCATCAGATTTCATCCAAACCCAAAAAATGAAACGTACAAAACTCTCTTATCATTGGTATTGTGCTCTAAATCATCTCCAAAATTAGCTGGGCATCAGCTACAACTGTTTACTCTTTCAAGGTAATGTTTGATAACTTTGCTTCATATATGATGCCAACACTTATTTCCTCTGGTCCTCGATCAGAAAGGCCAGCTCCATGCAAACCATTTTGATTATGAAGTCCAAATCAAAGCTTGTCTTCTGGGTGTTTTTCTTCAGTCACTCTGTCTTAAGTCGCTGTGCAACCAACCTGTCACTATAATATGCATATGAGGATTCATGTTAATGTGGATGGAATTTCAGCAAAGCGGAGTATTATGCAAATAGGGGAGGAAGAATTGGTTTATGCTAATTGATGTTTGTGTTGGATTGGAGGAGAATGCTAAAGTAGTCTGTACAGAGCTGTGTTCAATAGTTAATATCGTCTGACATTAATCATATGTCACAGCACGACTACAAACCTTAGCTTATTTCACCGGATTTTATTTTAAATACAAAGATGTCAATTATCAATGATATACATGGGCTTTTTTTTATCTTAAAAAATTACCATGCATTATTTTTTAAACCCTTTACTCTTCAGAAGTCAAATAATCAATGACAAGGTTTTGCAGTGTTGTAACTAGCCTTAGTATAGTTATAAGGGATCATTGGAGAACAAACATCACAAAGTCCAGCCTTATCCAAGTGTACTGACGACAGTCAGCTGACATCCACAGAGTTTAAACCTATGTCTTTTGCTAAACAAACTGCATATGCAACAAAAACTCAACTCAAATTATTTATGTGGCCCTAATTCACAAGACATCATCTCAAGGCACTTTACAGACAATTCAACCAGTTCACATTGTCTAAAGAAAACCAGCTGTTTGTATCGACTCATTGACTGTACAGCAATTGTTCACATCAAACATGCTTGTAGCAACATTGGAGAGGAAAACTCCCTTTTAACAGGAAGAAACCACCAGCAGATCCAGACAGCGTGAGCAGCCATCTGCCCAGGCCGAACTCAGGATGTCCATTAATGATAGCGTTTCTTTGTGAGTATTAATACACACAAACATGTGAGCTGCTATGAAGACGTGCAACAGACACTTTTCTGGTCAACAGTACCAAATACAAAGTATTAACACTCAACCAAACACATTGACAGGCATGTAGTGTCACGATTTGGCTATGGTTAGTTGACCCAAAAGCAGAGGCAGGGAAGCAGAGGTGAATCTCTTGTGGATTTAATAATGACTTAACAGAAAACAGAGGCAGGTTATCCAAAAATCCAAAAAGAAAACAAAGTCCAAACAAACATGAAACCAGAAGTCCAAAAATCTAAAAACCAAAAACATGAAAACTAGTCTAAACGTACCAGAAACCATGGAGACATCAGGGGAATCACAATCATAAGGAGGAAGGCTCAGAGAGAAGGAGTTGGAGAATGTTTGATGGTGTTTGACAAGGACCCAGCAAAGGGGAACTGAAGAGAGAGGGCCTTTAAAGGAGACTGAGTCAAAGAGGGGGCTAATGAGGAAACTGGGAGCAGGTGTGCACAGAACAAGAGGGAAAGAGCTAGGGAAGAAGGAGAACATAAGAGGGCAGCAGAGAGCAACAAAAGAGAAAACCTGGAAGACTGGAAATAACAACACAATGTTAAATTACTAGGACTATAAAACATGGAGAAAAGAAAACTAAACACTCAAAAGAAAACATAACAGAACCCAGACTAGAACAGTAACTGGAAAAAACCAAAGAACACAGCAAAATAATAATAAAACCACTAACACTAGAAAACAAGGAGTAAAGCAAGACTGAACACTGAAAGAAAAACATAACAGAAACAGAAACTTGACATGTAGTCCCCAATTTTAAAGCTGTGCAGGACAGGAACAGCTTTAGTTCTTCCACCATTTCCTTGAACACCCTGTCTTTATACACATTAAATACTCTTTTGGTTTTAGTTTTAGGTGTACCTTATTTAGTCATGGAGAGGTTGATTGTTTTATATATATTTTTATAGACTCCTACTCTGTACTACTACAAGAAAGATTTACCAAGGTAAATCTGCCAACAGTTAAACATGAATCAGAACACACAAATCTGGCTCAGTTATGGTGTTTAAAAAAATGACAGTAGGGCACTTTTGCCTAAGAGACGCACTCAAGAGTTATTCAGGTCATATATGTGAGGATAACAGTAATTTCCTCCAAACCATCAACATCTACTGTGCACCATTACTGGTGCATCAAAGTAGCCACACATTCAGATTACCCTTTGGAGAGATAGAGCTGCCAGCCATTACAGTGATAATGCAAGATGTGTGTGGAGATGGAGATGTTGAGAAATTCAATATCTCTCCCACGAACTCAGAACAATTGAGCGTCTCACCTCATCACACTTAATTCAGCACGTTAACACATGAGATCCATCACGCCCAGATAGATCATTAAAAATTCATTCTAGGGCTCCATATGCACGGATGTCCTCCCATCAATCCTTATTAATGGATGCTTTCTACCCTTTGTTACCTGTCGGCTCCGTTATCGCCACGGCTGTCAAAATTACACGCTAATGGAAGTCACATTGAAGTTACCTGGAGATAATAAATGGCTGTAGTTTGGACACTTATCACTTAGAGCCTTATAATTCAGCGAGAAACTGCAGCATTTATCAATGTCTGCAGGGAATTCCCCAATTGACGAACATGGGAGCTTTGGATAGAAATTATCTTTTCTTCTTTTTTGTCAGCCTGATTGTGTCGTCTTTGAGTCATATAAACACAGGCGGTCGGGGAAACTGGTTGTTTTCTGTAAACAAAAAAGCTGCACATTCCTGAAGTTTAGGAGCTTTCTTTTTTCTGAATGGTTCAAGAGATTGGCAAATTCTTCTAGAACGCTAAAAAATCATGAAAAAAAAAAGGAGAAACACCCCAAATAAAGCAAATAAAACTATTGATTAAAGCATT